GTATTTACTGTAAATACATCCTCAACTAGAAGTGAGAAATAAATGGTTAAACCGCCTTCCTCAAATCATACCCCACTCAAAGTCGGCATTCGTCGGAAACCCGCGCCAACTTTTAAGATCGCAAAATCCGCATGCGCAGTCCAATCAGAGTAGGTGAGTCACATGCGATCACGGCGTCGACAAACACGGGTTGGAGTAAGTCTCGACTTTGCTCTTGCTTTTCAACCTTCATAATTTTTCCCTAAACCTGACTTACCGGTACTTGATTTCTGCTATTTCCTGTACATCCAGAATTTCTCAGTAAACACATATCACACAGTGCCATTTCATAAAATACTACAAAATACTGTACACTATACCAGCGATAGAAATGGGAGTCCGCAGCAAAATGAGGGAGTCCGTTTTGTAACTATCCTGATCTGAACAATCTGCGCTGATAGGATCAGGGGTTCATAATGACAGACCTTTCAATCGTAAAGACCTTAATGATATTATAAGTATATAATAATCAATCATAATTATTAATAATTACAGACCTTCATAATTATCAACCCCTGATAGGATAAAACGATAGGAAGAGGGAGCTACCGGTTTTCGTTTTACTTTTGTTCTCCCCTCCCAGGCGCCCGTCACTCCTACGTAAACATGCTCCACACACGGCATCATTTCGCGTTATAGACCGTCTGCACGACGGGTAGTAGCTAGCGTGCTTGTTTGTATGTGTGTGCATGTGCGTGTGCGTGTGCGTGTGCGTGTACATGTGTGTGCGCGCCCGTGTGTGTGTAAATGTGGTATGTGTGTGCGTGGGTGCGCGTGTGATTGTGCGTGCGCACGCCCGTATGTGTGTGAATACGGTGTGTGCGCGCGTGTGTGCATGTATGTATGTATGTGTAACGGAGCTAGTTTCACCATAGCTTATTAATTACTGTTAGTTTGGGCATGAGGCCATGCGGGTCGCGTTGGTGACAAGCCAGGGGGGAATAGATGAGATATTCAGTGCACACGCGATGCAGGCTGAAGGTAATAGGAGAAGCAATAAGGTGGCTAACGACGTTGGACAGAGGGGTCGGAGTGCGGGATAATCTGTCATCACCCGCAGCTGGCGTACGTCGTGACCAGGGAGGTCGAACAACAAGTTCGGGTGCATTTAAGAGAGCTGAGAGAAAGAGCAGGAAGCACCTCCTCTCCATTTGTTTGACTGTCACTGACGTGTATTTGTACGCATTCAGCCTTACGTATCTGCTCTCTGTTCAACTCACTGTTGCATTATGTCTAATGCAACTGATTGTGGTACGTTACTTTACTAGTTCGTGTTTTACTTCTTGTCTTACGCTGTTGCTGTTCTACTCTTACCGCTCTTTCCCCACACCCTAGAAGTACGAGGTTACATATGTATGCAGGCCCGTAGCCAGGGGGGTTCGGGGTGTTCGTGCGACCCCCCCCCCAAGCAAAAAAATAAATAAATAAAATTTTTCATTTGAAAATTTGCAAGAATATCACCTCAATTATGCACCAGATCGCTCCATTTTAGTGTAATAATTGCAAAATCTCCCACACCCTTCACCCCCCCCCCTCTCGGTAGCTATGCTCCCTTGGCAGTCGCTTCGCACCCTCACAAATTGCCAACATTTAAAAACAAACCCCCCCTAATATAAAGCTGGCTACGGTCCTGTGTATGTATGTATGTGTGCGTGTGCGTGTATGTGTGTGCGCGCCCGTGTGTGTGTAAATGTGGTATGTGTGTGCGCGTGTGATTGTGCGTGCGCATGCCCGTATGTGTGTGAATGCGGTGTGTGCGTGCGTGCGCGCGTCTGTGTGCGTGCGTGCGCGCGTCTGTGTGCGTGCGTGCGCGCGTGTGCAAATATTTGACAATCGGCGGTGTAACCGTGCCCGCCGCCGTCCACTGGCTTTCAAGAAAATATATTTTCAAAACTACTCAATGCATTTGGCTTTTTTTAAGAATTATTGATGCTTCTAATCAGAATGATATTTTCAAAAATATCTAAATAAGTGAAATTGTACTATGAAATCAACCCATTTCCCTTTTTTTTCAAAAATTGCATGTAATTTTAAGGTAAAATTTCAGATTTTATATATATTTAGATGTAATTTTTTTAAACAAATATTGGGATATGACTCGAGTCAAAATATCAGTATTTTTCGTTTACTGTAAATACAATGTCATCCTCAAATAAAAGTGAGAGATAAATGGTTAAACCGCCATCCTCAAGTAAGGTAATAGCTAGTTCATTTGTAAATGTCAAGCAGCACGCTTCGCTTCTGCCAACCATGACACATAACAAACACACGTGACCTGATCTATGACGTCACGTGAAACACTCCTATATGCGCATTATTTCTGGAAATTATTAGATCGTCACATTTTGGCAGTAAAATATAAATTTCTTGATATCGATATGTCGTCTGTGGTCAGGGGAAACTGTCACTAGAAAACATGACAACAATAAAAAAAACTAAACCAGGTGGAATCATTTTCACATGATAGGAAATGTTTATTGACAGCTGTTATTACGACGGTATGTATTATATAAGCATATGCTTCGCGTAAACCTACTAAAGTCCGCTCATTTCATCCTATCAGAAAGCGCGGGAGTCTTTTAAAATGGCCTGCCGATTCCAAAGCGCATGACCAACCCTTTACTTATATATACAATCGCATCATCCCAGATTAAAATTCCAACTGAAGACAAGTTTTCCACGTCACCTCCTGGGAAGATGAAATGAGAACACTGAGCGAAAGAGACCACATCAGCCTTACCTGTTTCTTAATTATCCTAATTAGTCAATAGCGAATATTAATTCGAACTATAGCCATTCACATAAACTACTATGGATTCTAACGAACCACGGTTCATTTATAACTATAAGCGTTCACTTACACGATGCAAACTTTTCGATATACCGATGGTTCAATCAATACAATCAGGTCCACCACTGGACGAGAGACGTCCGGGAAAACACGCCGACTCGTTCGAGAATCCCGACCCTTCTAGGCACTGCTGTTTGAATCCCCCGACACGCACGCACTGGCAGGTTTGATTCACTGGAGTCGACCTCCATATATCTACTAGATGAATAGATCTACTAGACGCATAGATCTATATAGATCTACTAGACGCATAGATCTATATTAGGGATCTACTAGACGCATAGATCTATATAGATCTACTAGACGCATAGATCTATATAGATCTACTAGACGCATAGATCTATATAGATCTACTAGACGCATAGATCTATATAGATCTACTAGACGATAGATCTATATAGATTCTACTAGACGCATAATCATAACCATAGATCATTATATCTATAGACGCATAGATCTATATACATCTACTAGACGCATAGCATCTATATACATCTACTAGACGCATTAGATCTAATATACATCTACTAGCAGCATAGATCTATATAGATACTACTAGACACATAGATCTATATAGATCTACTAGCTCGTGTACAGCGATGTTAGATGCACGGGAAGCTCGTCGTTTGTCGTGACCGAACGTCGCGTCTAACGATCATGGTTTGCGTGCAGGCCAGTGTCGGCGGGGATTCAGACAGCGAGACACCCACAAAGAAAGGCACCCACGGAGTCCGCAGAAACCGCCCGAGACGAGACGAGACTTCATTCCGGCGGATCGCAGCGCGACGCCCTCCCCCCGCCGCCGCCCGCGAGAAACAGAATGCGACCATCGTCTCGTCCCGAGCGACCCCCAGTCGCAGCGACTTCTCCCTTCGTCCTTCTCCGGCATTCTTCCGGTGCATCTTCAGGACATGATCCATCCGATCGCTGGCAGGTACCGACACGATAAAGAGAGGCTGTTCCTCGCGAGAGCAGTTCCATCAGCATACTAACACACATGCACGGGTGTATGCACTGTAAAAAGACAGAATCCGCGATCCGGCGGGACGACGCGATACAACGCCGGCGCCCTCTCTCCGCAGCACTTCGCTCTAACACAGTCCGACGGCACACGCCTCGCGGACACACTCACGACGACGGCAGTCTCACTCTCACAGCCGATTGCGTCGCACTTCGCTCCAGTCTCTCACTAGAGGGCGCCGGCCTCACGACAACACGGTCCACCGCAATGCGTCGCGGCGCGCGCTCGGGGACGACACAAACACAAGAGCAGACGTCGTGCTTTCCCGCAGTCCGCCGCGATGCCACCACAATAACACACTCGCACCGATCGATCACGTATCAGACGTCCAGGTGGCGCCGCTGTGCGCGTAGATGTGAAACGCTATCTCTGTCCTTGCCCAGAGTAGCACTACAAACCACCTGATCGTCGAACTCGCTCCGCTTGGCATGCGAGTTTCGGACACGGAACTTGATTACGTTGGCACACAGTCACTTCGGGCGATGCGACGATTTCTAACACGGATTATTATGAACACAATGGCACTTTCAGTTAAACATTGTTAGCACGAGATAGAGAGATAGATTCACTGCACAATATAATACACTTCAGCTTTTCTACTACGATACACCGTAAACGATCCGAATACATCGTCACAACTAACACGTTAAGGTTTCACGCACACACGTAAACGAGCAAGAAACTTTTTCACTCGTATAATCTGCTAGAATATTTTCGCCGTTTCTTCGCCGCCGGTCTCCCGCCCACAACACCTCGGCACTTAACACTGAACACATTAGATCGAAGATCGGCCACATCCGCACACCTCCGACAAACACAACATCGTCATCGACATGCCGGCACTATTTTCGCCTCAATTTACAGCTGCACGCGTGATAGGTGGTGAAAAAAAGAACTCGGCCACATTCCTGAATCATCAATGTGCACTGAACACAAGCAATATCTCTGAACGGCCTCTCTGCTACGGTTGCTAGGGGCAGCAACCGAATCCGACAGCTCTTAGCACGAGGAGAAACACGAGTGTATAAGCTGTACAAGGTAGATGGACACTCTCACACTCAGCTGAACACATCAGTGGCTGCAAATGAACAATTCGTAGTATTTCATAGACTAGAACCACCGCAGCGTCATCATCGCTGCTCTCAGGTCCAACAAGTTGTATCGTGTAGAAAAATAAAAACTTCCAATAATAAACTGCGAGCGGGTGTAAAAAAAAATGTCTTCAAATGTTTTGCCGGAGCGTAGAGGTAAATAAACGTAACTTTCAAGAACGCAGCATGTTAAACATGATTTTGGCTCGCACAACGACGAATGCCCGATCCATGTGCACAGAACCTTCCCAGCTGGGATTTCAATGAGGCTTCCATCGTCTTTAGATAGCACAAAGTCATGCACACGCACGCACACACACACACTCACGCACGAACACTCACTGTAGGTTAGGGTATGTCGCACAACTTCCCTGCACTTTTGCATTATAACACTTCCGATACGATTGACACGTAGAAGAACAAGTTAATGCGATTACGTACAACACTAACACACGGAGAGAGAGTGCACATGGCACTATTTTAAGATACACGGTCAGACCATAGGGTCGAATACACTTTGCGTTTCCTCCTTCATGCGTCATCAGAAACACGTGTGGTAAACACTGCCAATGAGAACAACACTGCCACGTGAGCGCACGGAAGCATGCACACCGACCGTTTCCACATCGACAAATTCGCAGCTCGTAAAATAATTCACAATCGAAGAACCGGTAAGCACACACACACACACACACGTGACGTGCACATCAATATGACACATTTCGAAGATTGATCACCTCTTGCACATCTCATCACGACACACAAACGGAGATTCGCTTACTACACTTAACGATCCGGGACATCCACCACAAATTTGTCACGGCCGGCCGAACGTCTAAAACAATTGCGCGTACGCTACACTTTTCGATCTGTGAAGATTACAATTAATGCACTGTAACGAACCTTGCGTCTAATACACAGCGGATTTCACCTGCGAAGGTATAACATCGACACGCCATCGAGGGATCGCAGGAAAACTTTACGGCGACACCAGCGCGGAAATGCCGATTCATCTTGCATCGGCTTCATCCGAGCTCACCGACCCACGCTCGCCAAATGCCTCACACCGGTACCACCTCGCGACTCAGCTCTCTCGGCAATGTCACGCGAGTGAGTGCAGCGATCGGACGTCTTGCTTGCTTGTGCCGGATTCCCGCTGCCTTCTACTCGGACCGCGCCGAGAACTCGGCGAATCTCACATTCGGCGAGTGGCAGCTGTCAGGCGTTACTCCCCATCCCGACGAGAACTCAGGGGGAAGGAGAACTAACGCGCGCACAAACGCACGAGACTTCGCTCGACGCTCCCCCGCGCGCGCGGCGGGGGCGTACAGGGCGCTCATGACGATCCGCGGACGATGGCGACGACGAGATGGTCGTCCTTCGACGTGTCGGCGTTCAGGTTGGGCGCCTTGCGCACGAGGATGTCCAACGTGAACGCGCATGGCGGGAACGCGTACAGGATTCCCCCGCCGCCGTCCTTCTCCTTCCCCTGCAGCGCGATCACGCCCGCCGCCTCCTTCTGCTTCAGGTACGTCACAAGGTTCTTCAGAGGGCGCTGCTGCAGCGCGGCGTCGTCCGGCTGCGCCGAGCCGGGCATCGCCAGCAGCAGGCAGAACCCGCCGCCAGAGGGCGCCGAGATGCGCTTCGAGACGTCCTCGAGCTTCGGCTGGTCGAGGCGCAGCCTCTGCGTGATGCGCAGCGTCTCCGTGGTGACCGTGTCCTTGAGCAGCATGTCTGCGATGAGCGGGTCGCCACCGACGATGTGCATCTTGCACGAGAACGCGCTGTTCTTCAGCAGCAGGCATCCGTGGAAGCCGACGGGGAAACACTTGGCGAGGTCGGCCACCGTAGCGACGTGATCGACGACGCCGCGGCGATCGCGCCGCTCGAAGTCGTCGCCGTGGTAACGCTCGCGGTCGAGCCGCCGGTCGGGGCTGAAGTCGCGATCGCGGGGTTCGTAGGGGAGCGCGCGGTCGCCACGGCGATCCGGCGTACGGTCGCGCCCGTAACTGGAGAACGCGGCGGCACCCGCCCCCGCCGCGGTGGCGCCCCCTCGGCGGTCGTCGTAGGTGGCGTCGTACGCCGCGTGGCGGTCGCCGTGACCGGGGCTGAAGTCGCGACCCCTCCCCGCGCCGACGCGCGCCCCCGCCGCCGCCTCGTACTGCCCGCGTCCGCGCACGCCGGCACCCCGGCCCCCGCGCCACGCCTCCCGCGTAAACTCCCCTCCTCCCCCGCGCCGGGGACCCCCGCGGAAACTCCCCCCGTTCCAATCCCCGGAGCCCTCCCCCCGGAAGGACGCGGCGGCGAATTCCGCCGGCGGGTATCGCTCGGCGACGCGATCAGCCGGCGGTGGACCGCGACGCGGCACCGGGACGAATCCCTCGGGATCTGCGAAGTCGACGCGCAGCCGCTTGTCGGGGCCGCCGAGCGGGAATCCGCGCATCTCCTGGCAGGCGGCCTGAGCGGCGTCCATGCTGTCGTACTGCACGTACGCGTAGTTGTCTCCCTTCACGTAGTCGATCTTCTGTATCGCGCCGAACCGATCGAACTCCTTCTCGAGCGCGGCGAGGGAGGTCCACGGCCCGAGCCCGCCAACCCAGAGTCGCGTCGTCGGGTTCGCCTTCCCGTAGCCGATCTTCGCTTCGAACTTCCCGATGTACTGGCCGGACATCTCGACCTTCGCGCGATGCGCCATGTCGAGGTTGTCGAACTTGAGGAAGGCGTACGCGTTGCCCTGGCCCGGGTGAGTCGGCCGCTTGACGTCGATGTCCTCGATCGTGCCGTACTTCCCGAAGAGACGCTTCAGCTCCTCCTCCGGGATGTTCGGGTCGAGATTGCCGATGAAGATCGTCCGCGTCGCCTTCTGGTCGTCTTCGGGGTCGACGTGGGTCAGGTAGTCGGGGAAGTCGCGCCGCTTGTCCTTGTCCGCGAACTTGTCGTAGCTCCCGCCGCCGCCGCCGGGGTAACCCCTCCCCCTCCCCGCGAACCCCCTCCCCGGCACACCCTCGGGCGGGCCAGGGGGTCCCCTCACCAGCGCGGGCCTCCCCCCGGGGCCCGGAAGGATGGCGGGGCCGCGGTCGCGGTACTCCGGGCTGAAGCTGCGCTTGTTTTTGTTGTAGACCGACTCGATGTGGACGGGTTTGTCGAAGAGGACGAGGCGCATGCGGGCGTGCTTCGCCTCACGAGCGTCGTCCGGGTAACGGAAGTTGAGGTAGGCGACGCGCTCGTCGCCGCGGTTCGTGACCTTGATGTTGAACTCGCCGAACTTCTTGAACTCTTGGTAGAGGGCGTCGCGGATCATGCTGTCCGCCACCTGATTGTTCAGGTAGCTGACGCAGAGGGAGGAGTACTCTGCCCCTCTATCGACGCCCGGAGGACCCTTGAAGCTCTCCCGTAGCAGGCCATGATCACGCGTCGTCGTCGTACGCTTGTCGTACTTCGCCGAGAGTAGTTCTAAATCCTCGCGGTAAGCGGAAGGCGGGCGCGCGGGGCTGCGCCCCCGGCTCAAACTTCCCCCGCGTCTCTCCCGCCTGCCGCGCTCGGGAGAGTACCTGTCTCTAGACACATCGTCGGATAAACGTGGACGCTTTCCCTTCGGCATGCCTCCTCTATCATCCTGCCGTTTCATTATACAGATTTCCTTAGTCTACTCTTCTAAATTCAACATTAGCAGAAAAACTTGAAGCCACCATTTTGCTTAGTCACTGTATTACTACGCCAGAAATTCGTTGTTTGACAAGAGTCCGAATGACTACAAACGTTATCAATCTTTTATACAAATTAATTATTGACTTAATATCACTATAATAAATTTGTTTCTAACAATATTTTGTTACTATATTGTAATAATTTAAAATTAGAAAGACTTAAACGTGGCTGCACAGAATTATTTTGCCTTATCACACAGTTCGCTTTCCGCTTGACGTCAGCAGGTTTTGTAGCTACTATGTGACGTTGACACAAAATATAGGTGGCGAAAGTCTCAAACTACGCAAGTCAAGGGACGGAAGAACTGAAAATTCTCAATTATTCGGTAAAGTTCTCTTGCTGTAACGTCCTGTTTCCGTCTTAGACCGATCTTTATACTTTTTAGTACAACCACGTTTTTCATAAATAGTAAATTGTTCGTTTGAGCGTTGTTATTAGCCGGATTTGGCAGATTTGTAATGTTCAAAGTTATTGTTTTCTATCAATGTTTGATGAGTTCACGTAGCCTTGCCTTCGGGGATCTGTCGATGTCAGTGATTGATGATAGTGAAACTGTGATACTATGCTATACTCAACTATGCAGCGTATATAGTTGTGACGCAGTCGATAATGTGCTAGCTATCACTATACGTGCTGCTGTTTGTATATCATTATATGTGTACAAATGTGGGTTCAAGGATAGAGAACATGGGTCCCAATAAAACCAATGTCATTTACATCAATATAAATATAATATTATATCAATATAATAGGTTAGGGTTATGGTTAGGGTTAGGGTTAGGGTTAGGGTTAGGGTTAGGGTTAGGAACTGCCAGGCATTTAGGAAATCGAAGACCGTGCTCGGCTGCCGGACATATAGCCACAGCGAAAAATCAATCGTCAACTGAAACTGGATCAAATTTAAAACTCCCGTCATTCCTACCCAAACCTGTCCCTTTCTTTACAGTTTACTAGCCGCAGCGTCGTCACCTAGGATGTAAAGTTAGAATACAATGAGAACTCGCTGCATCTTGTGCTATATTAGTGGCACCAAAAGAATAGAAACAATAGAATCTGTTGTAGATACCTTTGTACAATGACCCTTGGATAATGTTCGTTTGTAATCTCGGAGCAATCACATTTGGTGTAATTCGCATCTTTTTCTATGTTATCGACGTCCACACGAAATAATATTATATTAAAAAATTTACACGTACAAACACCGTTTGCATTCAGATACTGATAGTGATGGCCACTTTTCCTACTATTAGCGAGTGAACCAAATGCAGTTACTTCATGTAGAATATTGCCGATCTTTGCCGTAGTACACATTTAATGCCAGCAGATGTGTCCGACTCGTTTGCTGCTCTGTGTGACTGGCTAACCTAAGCAGGTGGAGTCTCACACACATATGTGTCTGTATTACACGTATTTTAGATAGCTGCGCAGAGAAGAACACAGATGGCAGGAAAGGCTTTACACCTACGCTGCAAGTCGAGAAATGGACAGCAAATGCTAAGTGGCATCACTGCAGCAACTACTGTTGCTCAGTTGAAGCAAAAGCTTGCAGAGGTAAAGTTATGAAGTTGTGTGGCATAGATCAAATTCAATAGTTTCCACTCGAAAATCGAATACAGTTATTCATTTTGATTAAGCATCTGATTTTCTTCTGCGAAACAGTGAAACACGCGGAGTATTATAAAGCCGTGAAGGAAATAATTTTAGTAAATGATTTACATAATATCTTGATATTTTTCTGTTTCGACAGCTGTCGCGTATACAAGTAGGTGCATTAAAAGTTCTCCATGGATATCCACCTATACGAATGGACCTGTCCATCAGTCTAGCGACAGTGTCGACCCTTGGTTTATCCTCTGGTGACACTCTGATCGTGGAAGAGGATAGTAGCGTGTTAGCAACTGGTGAGGTAAGAAACGTGAATGGCAGAAAATAGCTGAATCCATGGACGTGTTGAAATACTACACAGATATGCAAATGCAACTGGAAACTCAAAAATGAATTGACACAATTATCCAATAGGGTGCATTGGAATTCGTGCATATATGCATTTGTAGTGTATAAATTTTGCTGCTTAGGTTTGTTCTTAAATTATGTAGTATATATGTATTATCTTATATATATATATATATATATAGTAAGTGCTGAATTCCATTCAGTTGGGAATCATCGATGTTTGTTCTAAAAACTATGATTGTCATAGAAAAGTTTTATTTGTGATGAATGGCCAATGAACAAGTGCTGATTATCGATTAGTTGGGAATTATTAGAATCGTAGACGTTTGTCCATGCCTCTAATGTTGCTCTCTTGCTTTTTTTGGTTTAAAGTGTGTGCTGAATTATGTATTATATATGTATTATATATATGTGTGTGTGTGTGTGTGTGCATGCGTGTGTACGTGCGTGCGTGCGCAAGAATTGTTGACATTCGTCTTTGGTGCTAAACTGACACACGTTACAATTTTCCCCTCTCTCCTCGCAGGCGCCCTCCTCGGAGGCGGTTGCCGTATTATACATATAATATACATATATATATATATATCTCTATATAGATAATATAATATATATATATATATAGATAGATAGATACATAGATATAACTGCTGAATCTCTCTCCTCGCAGGCACTGTCGTCGGAGGCTATCGCCGTCGCGAAGTCGTCGACTGCCGACCGCAAGGTGAGCGCACAGCTCCAGCAGAACGCCGGCCTGCTGATGCGCAAGGTGGTTCCCTCGGACAACTCCTGCCTCTTCACGAGCGTCAACTACGTGCTGACGGGCGCTCTCGACGTCTCCTGCAGCCGCGACATGCGCAAGCTGATCGCCGACGTCGTTACCGCCGACGCCGACACCTACAACGACGCGTTCCTCGAGAAGTCGAACAAGGAGTACGCCGAGTGGATCGCGCACGAGGACGCGTGGGGAGGCGCCATCGAGCTGTCGATCCTCGCGAAGCATCACGGGGTCGAGATGGCTGTGCTGGACGCGCAGACGGGCCGCATCGATCGCTACGGTGAGGACGCGCACTATCCGACGCGCGTGCTGCTGATATACGACGGGCTGCACTACGACCCGCTCGTCATGGAGCGCGCGAGCGAGCAGACGACGGTGTTCGCCATCGGAGACGACTACGTGTGGCAGCAGGCGCTGCAGCTGGGCGTCGAGGCGCGCTCGAGCCGGCAGTACACGGACGTGAAGCGCTTTGCGCTGCGATGCATGGTGTGCGACGTGGCGCTGACGGGACAGACCGAGGCGCAGGAACACGCGCTCGCGTCCGGACACACCAACTTCGGCGAGGTGTGACGCAGCGCGGAACTACTCTCGAGCGAAGAACTAGTCTGGATTCGAAGAACTATTCTTGATGTCCCTCGCGCGCGCGCGCGTGTAAAGTGATGTACAGAGCGTGCTGTCGTGCGCCTTGCCCCCGGAATCCTTTGGAGTGTTCTAAACGCGTGCTGTTCTGTCGCCCGTGTCTGCAGATTCGCGCAATCTTACGACGAATACCTCGTATATGGAGAACATTTACTGCTAGTAAAGCGGCGATTCCTGAGCGGAATGCTTTGCCCTTTTTGAAACACCTACCGATTTCAACCAAAGAACTCGACTGTGAGCAGGAATCCTCAATTGGCTGTAATTCTTGTGACACACGCGTTTGCGCAAAACTATAGTTATTTAATACTGTTAAGCTCCAGTGATTCAGGAGCTCGTAAAACCAACAATGCCAAATAACTGCAGCTTAGATGTCTGTGCAGAATCTCTCTAGGAACTACAGTTTTCCTGATAGCAAAATGTGATCGAGTAACTATAAAATTATATCGGCCGTGTCTAGTAAATTCTGACACATTCTTGGAAAAACGGAAGGTTCACATTTTCATGAGTGTGTGTAGTTCTTCTTAGATCTGTTCGATTAAAGACAATGTCACAGATGTAAACATAAAGTAATGTTACGTTGAGGGTTAGCTGTAACATGTGATAGAAGTGGCATTACTTATGAAGTTGAATTTTCTGCCTACTTGTTTTACTTTTAGTTTCAAATTGTATATATATAACTGCATTACTGTACACATTCTGTGACAGTCTTGCATCTGTATTAAACAGTGAATGGATGCAGGGTGGGGGGATATGCTTTTCACATGTATCTTATGCGTGTGTATCACATGGAAACATCTTCCAATAGTGTAGAACAGAGTTGTACGTATGCACAAATACATCAAACGTTAAGAAAGTTAAGTGTATGCCTCGGTGGATGAATAGTTGCTTAAATCTCATTTCTTGTGGAGTTATGTGTAAAGAGTGTAGTGTGTATGGAATACTAAGTTACACTGCCACAATAGTGTCCCTAGTGGTGTCAATCTATGTGTATATTGTCATAATTGTGTGTTGTTGGTCCGAACTGGTGAGATGCTGTGAATAAATAAGGAGATATTATTGAACTTGCCTTTTACTCGTTTCCTGAAGCTAACAACTGAAACCTAGAGTTCCAATGTCCTGTCCAATGGATGATGATATATATTAATTATGCAATATTCTCCCCGTATGATCACTGGCATAGGTTTGCATTTATCTTGTGGCCGCTGCTGCTGACTCCTCAGTCTTCTTCAGTATTAAAATTAAAAGTTAAAACATTTTTATTAATAAAATATTTAATAGGGCTACTGATAAAACGGGATTTTAACATTGGGAACCTTTTTCTGCTGCAATCCGCAGTGCTGATCTATCAATTTAGACAATGCCAAGCACTCTTCTTTCTTCGTTAATCGTTTAAATACTAGACATAGTCCCCTGAAATATGAATAATACAATTTATGATGTTATGATGCTATAATTACAAGAATGAGATATCCATAAATAAGTGTCATCATAGAAGTCTTCTTCTATCTATGGTGTCATGCATCCACTGATCTCTCATGCATCACGCAATCGTCTGCTGGTATTTTCTATTTTGAAAACTAGTCTCTTGTTTTCGGTGTACAACAGGCTTCTGGGATACCTACTTAGCGGAAGTGTTTACCTGTGCGATGAATCGCATCACTCCCACCTCGAACCTCACCTGTGCAAATGGTTGACCTAACGCGGGGATCTGCATTTCTTTCCTGTGTGAATCATGTAGGGGCCTACTGTATCGCGATTAACTCCGACAGTTGCCTAATTATGTTTACACGCGAATAAGTTGTTTGATAGTTGCAGTCTGACGAGACAGGCAGAGCCAGAGCCAGAGGCAGAGGTAGTACAGTGTGACTGTCACAGTACCGGTACTCATTCACACACTCCGATCGCCAGGTGAGATAACGACATTTCCGTGTTGATTATCCCGTTAACTAAATAAAAAAATGTTACATTTTGATTAACCCTAGTTTAGGCCAATGTGCTGCACGTCATAATTTGGAATGCCAATCCGACAATCGGGGGGGGGGGGGTGAATCGCTAGTAATACTACTACTAGTCTAATCTATAGTCTAATCTATAGTCTAATCTATACTATAGTCTAATCTATGTCCCCCAGGTTACTGCCGGAACGTACCCTGGTACTAAATACTACTATCTAATATGCCGGACCGTACCTCGCCTACTCCACTAACGAGTCTAGGGAGCCGCCTACGCCTACTCCCTAACCCTAACCCTAACCATATCAGCTAGATAGTTACCCCGCCCCCCCCCACTCAGTGTTATTTAGGGTACGCATATGCTCGTTCCCTCCCTTTGAAAGCCCCCCCTATCTCAGGACTGCCAAAATTTCTGAACCCCCCTTTCGCGGGCTTTTTGCGGGTTTTTCCTGCCTTGGAGAACCCCCTAAATCTGGAACACTACGTATAGACTGGTACCCGTTCGCCACCTTCACTCCGGTACGTATCCTTCGCTACACTGACGTAGTGACGTACGTTAGTGTAGCATGTGGAACTGTCGACCGGGTACCAGTCTACACTACGTAGTGTAGAGTTCAGTGATCGAGGGGAACTAGGGAGCAATATTTTTATTTTTCAAAATGAAATAATCCTGAATGAGCTTTCAAAACTAGCAGGAATTTCAGGAATTTGATCCTGGGATTTGATAAAGTTTTCTATTATATATTTAAGATGAAAGAGAGAGAGGAAAAACACCCCCTTTTTAAAGAAATCTCCGGGTGAAAAGTCAAATACACCCCCTTTTTTACAATTCTTGGGCCGGATTTTGTCGCGCGAAAAATACCCTTTACTGAAGATTTTGGGAACGCGCATGCGGTCCTTCCGACCTCGGAGTGGGGGGGCTGGGATAGTTACCAGGGTACATTTCGGTATACCGTACCGTACCCAGGGTACGTTCCGGCAGTACCCTGGGGGACATAGACCCTATATGAGCAGTAGTACTAGTAGTTCTAAGCCAAATTCAAAAATGAAATTGTGGGGAAATAATTGAGAACGATATTACTCGTAGAATTGGCAATTTATATTTAAGTTCGTGTTCAATGTTTAATTTAAGATAGTAATAGCTAGTATACATATATTAAAGCTTGCGTGCATGGGGATGTCGTGATCGTATATTCATGTACTTCCCCAGTAACCAGACCGAGGCATGTTCAGTGGTTTGAGCCGACTATGGGGAGGGCGGCAACCAGATATGACTGCAGACCCTGACGATGGCACTCTGCCAAAGTTCGAGTACGGCCGGCCCGACTTTGTCGGACTGTCGGAGGATGAGGTGCAGGTGTCGGCGGACGCCCAGGTGCGGCCGATCATGATCCCTCGCGATACCTGCCGTCTGCCGTGGAACGCCGGTTACGCAGAGTAAGCACCGTCAGTTTGTTGCTAATGGCAGCGTTGATCTGTTTGACAATGATTATAGTTTATACTCGCGCTACCATTAGCTTGGTTAATGAGCCGTGGTCGCGATTCATGGGTGCATGTACAAGAGAACTGTGAGCGAGTTCTTGAAAAGAGGCATTTCAATTTTTACTTTAGGGTCATAAATTCGGGGAAGTCGCTTCGAAATGAGGATCAGGCGATATGCGAAGTGTTCTCATTGGTTGACCCAGAAGATGACCCCCTGGTGGCGGGTCACGGCAATGGGACAGAACCCTATCATCCACACGACGACGTCGTGCCGGCAAAGTCACCAAAAACAGCATTGGTGAGCACGGTGGGCAGGTTTTGTGTGAATTTCGATTTCCCAGCATAATTTATTTTCCTTGTGGGATGTTAACATCACGTGTCGATACAGTAGATGAAAGTATACGGCCAAGTAATTTTGTTGTCACAGATTATTGTATTGAGAAATAAAATCACGTAATTGATTGAACCCTGAATTTACTGATAGAAATCAATATTTCATTATTAAATAATAGTGAAACTAGTGAAACTTACTAATTTAATTTTACATGCCATCAAGGATGCAGAAAATGTAAGTTGACACGTGAGTATATAGTGTAAAAGTCTGTGCAAAACTCTGTGTGCATCTGTGCATCTACATCAAGTGTATGTATATATGCATTCCCTTTGTGCCTAGCTACACAGTCAAGAAACAGTGTGCTGTGAATTGTGTGCGTGTTGATTTTTAAATGCCCGTCCCAATGCCTACTGTTAGCAATGTACACCCAAAACCCAGTGCGCCCAACCGTGTGCTGTTTGTTTAGTTTTACTGTGCGTGTGTCGCATACTTGACCCCTGACCCCAACCAGCAAGAATAGAACTTTTCGTTCATTGACCGGATATATGACTAATTCAGTTGTCAACCTACGTCTGCGTAACTGAACTTAGTTTCAGTTAAGAGTTTCTTTAATTTTGAAAACTGCATAGGTCTCCACGCACCTTCTTCCTTTATTTATTTAGGACTGTATATGTCGTTAATTACTCTTCAAATATTGAACAACTTAATGCTGGGTCCCTAGCTATGTGAGGTTACCTGGAGACCTACACGGTTTCCAAAATTAATGAAAATTGGTTTCAGCTACAAGCTAGAACATTGGTGGCTGAAATGTCAATACACCTATAGTATATATATTCTATAGTATATACAGGGTTCTCCAAGAGCACTTATAGCCTGGCAGCCCGCCAGGCTATCGTCGAGCCCCGCCATCCTAAAATGCACCCGCCACTCTAAATATCAGAGCCGCCATGCTGGTGTATACACAAGAAGTTCAAACAATTAATACACGTTGTTTATACGCAGAGGCTCTGGGTACGGCAGCCGTATCTTAATGTCTTGAGGCTACGGGTACGGCAGCCATATCTTAATGTCTCGAGGCTACGGGTTCGGCAGTCACACTACGCATGCGCTTCAGTTCAGACGTATCTTAATTTCTCAAGGCTACGAGTACGGCAGTCTCACACACAAGTACAAACAGTCGCCCTATCCCACCCTAACCCACCCTAACCCTAACACTAACTCTCCCTAACCCTAACACTAACTCTAACTCTAAACCGACTCGGCTATTTTATATACGCGTGTTATAGTACCCAATTAATCTATGGTGTACTATAACCTTTTGCTTTCAATATTTTGCATCTGAACTGACAATCAATCCCAACCAACTGGTGTAGGCTAGCTGGCACAATAATATTCATTTTCATACTTCAAATCCGAGTGTTTTCTAGCTCATCAAGAAATCTTAATCGTGAATTAAATCGTAAATTAATTTCCAACGGCATTATTACGGGGCAGGTAACCCAGATTTGATTCGATTTGGAACCAGCAAACCAGCAAGTTTACCCCTACATTTTGGTATTTTTATTCCATTATTATTTTGAATTTTCTGATGGCTTTGCCCATGCAAAACAAACATTTTCACCCCACATTCAGTGCTTCAAATTTACACACAGTGTCCCAGATTGCATCTCAGTGCTTCTACAATTCAAAAATTTTCCCGGACCCCCCTACCACTGAGCAGCACCCACTGCTATAATGAAAAATCTTGGAGAACCCTGATATAGTATATAGTCTATAGTCTATAGTATATAGTCTATAGTCTATAGTATATAGTATATAGTATATAGTATATAGTCTATAGTCTATAGTATATAGTCTATAGCTATAGTAACTCCCCTTCGCGTAAACAGAGGCTACCTTTACATCGCGACTCGTCGTGTAAGCACAGGTCACTCGCCAATGTCTCGCCCTGTCTCAACGATCTCTCGCCATGTCTCACCGATCTCTCGCCCTGTCTCAGCGATCTCTCGCCATGTCTCACCGATCTCTCGCCCTGTCTCAGCGATCTCTCGCCATGTCTCAGCGATCTCTCGCCGCCATGTTTCAGGATCCGGAGTGCAAGAAGGTTGTGATATTCGGCATCGTGGACGGACACGCTGGATCGGAGGCAGCGGTCTTCACCTCTAAGCTTCTTCACTACCACATACAGGTGATCATGACCTCATGCTTGACCTCTGCTCCGTGTGGGTCAGCATGCAAGTAGGAGGGTGTGGATAGACGCAGGGAGCCGTGTGGCGAGATACATGGGGGTTAGAAGCTGTAGACGCATCCATGCATGGCTTATTAAGGAGACTTCGAACTGTTAACTATTTTGGGAGTTGCAATTTTTACACATTCGTAAGTGTGGTGTACCTTAACACCATAATAATCTCTCTCTTTCTCTCTCTCTCTCTCTCTCTTTCTCTCTCTCTCTCTCTCTCTCTCTCTCTCTCT